AGAGATTGAGCACCTGACTCGACAGCAAGTGATCTCACCCTCCCCTCCCTCTTTTCCCCCTCTTCACGATAACCGAGCAACGACTTTTAACGAGACGAGCTGACGCGCTTCTGACGTAGCCGGGAGACCCACAGGGCAGAAATCGAGATGACGCGTCGCGTGGTGAGGCCAAGGGCCATAATTTTTTCAAGGTCACGAACGGTTAAGTGCGAGCGTTAAAAAGTAAGACCGGCTTCGATTTCTTTCGCGGCTAACGCGGATTACGCCGGCCGTTAACCTAGATCCGCCGGCTCTGGACCGGCCACTGTCCACCGTCCACCGACCGCGGTCCATTCATGCAAGTTGATGTCAACAATCGACGGTCCTTGCTCACTTTCTTCCTCTCGGAATGAGCTGAGCCATCGATGCCTGAGTGAACTTCCGAATTTTCTCCAAGGAGAAAAATCAATTTTGTTATCCTTCGACTTCCTTTACAGACAGAAAGGTATCCATTTCTTATTTTTTCTTGTGTTTTAGACTTCTATAGAGATGCAAATCGTCGCAAAAATTAAATTGCCAATGGTTGCATATGATACAGAAAACAATAGACCAAGAATATGAGGATGCGAAAAGGGATAATTTTCCGGAATTTGTCGAGGCTGTTGGAGGTATTCGGCAACTTTTGACCCCCATCCTCCCCTCCACCACAAAAAAAAACTGAGCAATAAAATCTACGTGACAAAGCGATTAGAGTACGGTACCTTAAAAATCGTAGCTTTGAAAGATATTTGCGTAGCCTCTCACGGTTTTAACTACACATATTGGCTAATTAACTACTACTCCCTCTCTACTTGTCATTATGTTCTAAATGTCAGACTTTCAGGAAAGGAAGGGCGCAAAGAGTGAATGGACCGAATCAATCAGAGAGAAACCAAGTCACATTTTGAAAAAAAAAAAATAGTTAGGTGTAAATTTGGGTCTAACTGGTTGAATTTTCTCCCGTCGAAAATTCAAAATCGAGACAAAAATATTCTGAATGTGAAAATTCGGGTTATCCTTCATCCGTTAAAAACCGATTTCGACCTAAAACCTAAAAGTTATTTTTCTCGGTTCCATGCAACTTGACGAGGTTTGGTTCCTTTCTGCTGAATTCGACCAAAATATACTCTCGACACCCTACAGCTTACACCCACAGCTTTCCTACAGGGTTAGAGTTATTTTTTGAGACCACAGCCCATATTTTTACCCGAAGGGTCAGTTGCAATTTGTTTCACAATGATACCCATTTTTTTTTTTTTTTTTTTTTTTTATAATCAGTAAAAACCTATAAAAATACGATTCGGAGATTTTGCGATTCCACGAAAATTCGCAGCTTTCTAAGGCACGTGCACAACTTGGCAGCCGACAAGGCGGTTGCGCTTGTAAAGTGCCCTAGTGGCGAGTTAGCCGGCCGCACTGGGTCACCGCACTTCACTTTTTAACCCTGCGGCGGCGAGCGGGCACTTACCGCGGCTGGAAATACAAGTCCAGATCTCTAACAATTAACTGTCTCTTCGTTTTCACTGCAAACGCACATTAGCAGCCGAGCGCCAGCCTGGTGAACCGCGATGGCTCACCGCTCGACAGACCTTTTGCGGATTGTTTTGGCTCGCAACAAGTGACTGCTCAAGTGCTCAGCTGACGGCGCACAGAGGAACGAGCTAACGAAGGAGGTCGGACATAAAATTTTTGGCTAAAATTTAAAATTTTGATGTCTATTTTGTCGCTAATTCAAATTCAAGGAGAGTTTCTGATAGGAAATTTTACGAAAAACCCAATAAAGCAACTCTGAAACTTTTATGTTTCATATTTTCGAAAATATTAATAATAAGCATATATAAAATGAGCGTTCAAAGTTCCCATACTTTGTCCGCCTCCTCCTGTTGACTCGGCCCACTGAGCGGCGTAGAGGTCGATTCTTTCGAATGGTGGATCGTTTAAAATGGGCAGACGCGGTGGAGATTACGATCGGACAATGGCTAGGCGAAAGGAGTGGTGAATTCGCACTGATGAATTATTTTCGCCTGGTATGTGTTACTTTAAAAGGCGATGCACTTGATTTTAAGCGAGTTTGATTTCACACAGCAAAGCCAATCTGGACTGTCATTGATATACTTAGAAGGGATGAGGGCAGTTAGACAGAATGAAAAAAGTAAAAAATAAGCACCCGAACGAGAAATTCAAGGAAAAGAGATAACTCATAGTATATCTGCATAGAGAAAAGCAATCTCAGTGCATGAAAGCTAGTTTTTCAGGAGAGAGATTTGGGTCGAATTGGGAGAGAAATAGGATTTGAGTTGCGCAGAAATATTCGTAAAATACTCCTCGAGACAGTAGTACCATAGAATTTCTCAGTTCAGAATTTTTCAGTACTGTGTATCCTTTTCCCGGGAAAGATCATGCATCCAAGTATCACAGTGCAACGAAAATATTGGAATTACGAGGGGCGTTCAATAAGTAAGTATCTCCCCTCTCTAAAATCCATAAGAAGGGACCAATTTTAAAAAACTTGGACTCAAAATCTTCCTTAGGATATTTTGAGTTCAACAAAACAAACCGCAACAAAATCGGACTATGTGCGGCCGAACGCGAGCCGTTTGAACGCGCCGAGGTGCTCGACGCTCCCGCCGAATCTGCGAGGATTTGAAGTCCGCTACAGGAGAAGAGCTTCTCTGCCAAAGCCTCAGTCGTTCATCACTGACGAAAAATCAAAGAAATGTTTGTAGAATAAGGGGCTTCCCTCAGTTCTCCACATAACCAGCTCGATCCAAGCAAGTCTGATACTGAGACTAAGACTAAGAGAACAGCTTTTGGCTGCCTCGTGCGTGGAAGTCTTTCAGCTGACCGCGGATGAAAGAGTGGACGGCTTGTTTGACCTCTTCCACTGATTCAAAATTAACTCCTCCAAGGTTCAGATTTCAGGAACGGGAATAAATGGTGGTCTTGTTTGCCATTTATCATCGTATCTGAAATCTGAACTCGGAGGAGTTAATTTTGAATCAGTGGAAGAGGTCAAACAAGCCGTCCACTCTTTCATCCGCGGTCAGCTGAAAGACTTCCACGCACGAGGCAGCCAAAAGCTGTTCTCTTAGTCTTAGTCTCAGTATCAGACTTGCTTGGATCGAGCTGGTTATGTGGAGAACTGAGGGAAGCCCCTTATTCTACAAACATTTCTTTGATTTTTCGTCAGTGATGAACGACTGAGGCTTTGGCAGAGAAGCTCTTCTCCTGTAGCGGACTTCAAATCCTCGCAGATTCGGCGGGAGCGTCGAGCACCTCGGCGCGTTCAAACGGCTCGCGTTCGGCCGCACATAGTCCGATTTTGTTGCGGTTTGTTTTGTTGAACTCAAAATATCCTAAGGAAGATTTTGAGCCCAAGTTTTTTAAAATTGGTCCATTCTTATGGATTTTAGAGAGGGGGGATACTTACTTATTGAACGCCCCTCGTATTTTGCAATTAGTGCAATGAAATTGCATTTTTTACCGCGATATAGCGACATTTTTACGTCATTTGCTAGAGAAATTGCAATGTTTAGCGATCAATAAAATATGTTCCAAGTGTGAGAGAGGTAGGCGATTTGCAATTCAAACAGAATTGCAAAACATTCCAATATTATTGTAATAAATCCAATAAGAGGAGCTCTTTTAGTGTCAGACGACATAACGTCACTCCGATTCGGTACAGAAGTAGCCATAATTTCACCATTTAATTGCAATTTACTGCAACCTGTGCTACTTGGGTTTCGTCGATGGACGGTATTCTTGGTAAAACTACCAAACCACGGATTTCAACTGCAAAGTTTGAACATTTCCACTCATATTTTATTTTTCCGCCAGTATACGGCTCGACTTTTTTGCGCGAAACTTTTGAAGTAAATTGTTGGAGAGGCGGAAACAATTCGAGCAAAATTTTGTGTAGAAGTATTGATCAGGCTTTTTTGAAAAATTAAAATGAAACAAGAGATTTGGGACGTTGTGGACCAAAAATCAGAGACTGGTCATTTGAGCGACTTTCAGTTCTCGATGAAGTCGGATCCTGCATCCTGCGTTCCCGCGTGGCAATGCGCGTGAAAGTATCATAAGTTGCATACCTCAGAATTGAAGGCTCCGTCAGGCTCGATTACGAGCTCGTAGTAGAGCTGATTTATGAAGGTAGCTTTACGATACCAACCAGTAAAAATATAGATTCAAAGGTTTCGGCATATTCTATAGGAGAAATAGTTTTAGCTTTTAGGATTCATTATGATTACTTGAAATTCAAGAATGAGTAATAATAATAATGGGTTCATTATGCTAAGAACTTAACTTGACTAGGCGGTCTGTTAACAGTGTTTTTTCCTTCTTTTTTTGCTTCTGAGATAATACAGAAGTTACAATTCCCGTTGTAACTTAATTCCTCCTGTATTAATCATAATATATTTCATAGTGAAAGCCTTCGCCTTAGCCTTAACCTGATTGCACATAGATTATGAGATCAAACTAACGATACAAAACATGATAGCATAAGAAGAATTCAAGTTTTTTGTGCAATGCTCTATACACCTCCCCCCCCCCCCNGAAAATAGTCATTTCTTCAAATGTCTGATAAGGAAAATGTTGAGCTTCTTTTTTTATGTTTCTTTTCATTCTTTTTATAGGAAAATTTCGACATACACCCTATCAAAGATCAGAGTTAGTTTAATTGTTGAAATTAGACATCCTCTTTTTGTAGTCTCAGATACGGCACTCGAGATGTGTCTTTAATTTTTTGCATCTGAGTTATCTGATGTGAAAAGAAGCATAAAAAACTATGCAGGAGGTTCAATATTTTATCTATTGGTGCAACTTATATGGAAATGGAATTAAGAGATATTAGCAAGGAGATATACTTGAATGACATAGATGAAGAATTTTGAAACTTACTCATAATATTTCTAATTTTTCCTATTTTTTTGACCGTTATTCTATACCACTAATCACATTTTGTTTCTGGTGTGATGCAGGAATGGATCGACGGTCCTGATGATGGTTCGGAGGATGAGATCATAGAAGAAGACGCTGATGACATCGAGACAGCAGGTTCCGAGGTTGTCTCCACAGTCGTGAAACAAGACGAAACAGGGAACGGAGAGGAGGAGCCTGGAATGAGACGACGCCGGAAAAAGGGTCGGAAGAGGCGACGCCGAATGCGGAAACGCCCCAGGACAACAACACCAAACTCCGCAGAAGCAGACGTTTATCCAACACCCCCTCCAAGCGCAAGCGAGGAACCAGAAAAAGTTCCTGTTGCAGCGCAAGATGAACAGAGCGAGACTTACCCTCGTCGGCGTCCAGGCAAGAGGCGTCGTCGACCATGGGCCCGCCCCAGCACTGAGGCACCAATAGACACCCCTGAAATTCAGGACCCTCAGGTTCCTCAAGAGCAACAGCCTCCTGTGCCAGAGGAAGCATCCGAAGAGCCACAAACACCAGCACCTAGACCTCGACGAAGGAAGCGACCAAAGAACCGCACCAAGATTCCGATAGAGAACATTAACTCTCAAGAGACAACTGAGGCACCAAAGAACGAGGATGCCAGTGGGTTGCCGGAGAATCATAAACAGTATGACGGTGAGCAAGCTCCTGAGCGCTACGCCCCGGAGCAGCCGAAAGGTTCTGGTGGCGAGGCGATTAGTTTAATTTCAAGAGAAGAGCTGGAGAGGGATCGGAAACAATTCGCTGAGCAGAGTAATCGTGAAAAAGTTCCCTATAATGCAGGAGACGATTTGAAACCTGGGAAGCAGGCTGTTCAAAAGCCAGCGCCAACTAAAGCGACGGTTCAATATCCATTAGAGCAGAGACCGATCAACGTAGAGCAAAGGCCGAAAGAAAACACGTTGGAGCCAAAACCTAAAGAACATCATGAGCAAAGGATAAAAGTCTATCCTGTGGAGCAGAAACCAAAGGATTATCTTTCAGGAGAGCAGCAACATAGAGATTACATTAGTGGTGGACAGAAGCAGAAAGAATACGCGACTGAGCAGAAACCTAGAGATTTCCCACCGCCTGAACAGAAACCTAAAGAAAATACAAATGTTGAGCAAAAGTTCAAAGATTATCAAAATTTTGGTCCCACAAACCGACCAATATCTGGTAAGCAGCAACCCCAGCAGCAGACTCCAAAACATCCAGAAGTAGATAAAATTAGAGAGCCTGGTCCAGTTTTCCAGAATATTCCGTTTAGACCAATCGGATATGATGGTTTCCAACAATACCAAAAGTTTTACGGCAATGATCCTGGTATTAATGGCACTCAGCAGAATAGACAAAAACAACAGGAACAGCTTAAAGTGCAGACTGAAAAAGCTTTGAAGCCGACCGGATCCTCACCATTGAAAATTCAAGATAATACCGATGAAAGGTACCAACAAAGCACCACCAAAGTACCGCCAAAATTTGTAAATACAAACAGCAATTCTTTTGGAAACCAACCTCCACCAAGCAAAGTGCCAGAAATTAGCAATTCTGGTTACGGTCCAGGTTATGGTCCTCCCAAACCTAATCATGGCTCATTTTCACAAGGACAGAAAGAGGGAAAACCAGATCAAGAGAGACCAAGTAGTTTCCAATCTCACCAGAAACCACTTTTCAATGTACAACAAGGCCCAGTGCAAAATTCTAAACCTAAACCTATTGGGACCAAAGATACAGAACCTCAAAGTACAACTTACAAGCCATCTGGTTTCCCTCACAAACTTCACAATGAAAATCTTTTAAGTCATAACCGACCTGAAAATAACCAATACCAAAAGCCTCCGCCTGGTTACCAAGCAAATCAAAACTTCCATGATAACAGTCATAGGCCCAAAGGACCGCCACCAAACCTCAGCAGCGAAGGATTCCACAAGAGTATAAAACCTGATGGTTTCAACGCTCCTCCATTAGTGAACAGCAGGGTCCCCAGTGTCCCACAACAAAACATACTCAAGCAAATCGCAAGTCAAAACCACCAATTCCCTGCTCATGCAAGTGTAATTGTGTCAGATCTTGAAACGAATTCTGCAAAACCACAATACAATGACCTGGATGATCTACACAGTAAGTTCCGACCGCAATCAATCGAACAATTTAATCATCAGCTTGTTGATCCTACTCTCCTTACTTCACCGGTACTTTTTGAGCCTCCAGTCCCACCAGTGTTTGAAGATGAAGTGCAAGCAACTAAATTACCTGTGAGTAAAGTGCAATTGCCACCAATCCAGTATCCGAAGGCGAAATTCCCTCCAGCTCCTTTCCTGCCGTCTTCACAAAAACAACTCCCTAATACACAATTCCAGAGACAAGCAGAACCAGCGCCTTTCCGTCTTCCGCAGAAGCCAGAACTACCATTGACACCTATTACTCTACCAACGCAAAGCACCCATCAACAATCTTTTGCTAACCAGAAAAAGGCACCACCACAGCCACCATCTGCACCTACCCATGAGAAAGGAAAGCAAAGCATCCATGTGCCTTCATTGGAAAATAATGAGGAGAAACCATTTGTCCCGACAAATGTTCAACAAACTACAACCACCGAATCTGAAACAGTGGGCTACGTAGATGTGCAAACGACGAAAGCACCTGCTGCAGATACAACCACACGAAAAACACCTTTCAACCATTCGAAGCGTTTGCCACCTACCTCCGCTGTGATTAGAAAGCGGGTGCGTCCACGTCCGTCTAAAAACACAACAGAAACTGTTCCGACTCAAGAATCTGATAATAAAGAAAACCTAAGTGAAAAATACAGAGGAGGCGCTAGAGGCAAAAATACTTATCGTCAGCACTTGACAGAAATCAAGCCCACTCCACAGACTCCAGATCAATCAGAAATAGAGCAGAGTGAGAACTATGAATCCGAGTCAGGCCACAAATCTTTATCTGCATATGGAAATGATGGAGTTTTCACAAACTACGAGGGAGAAGAAACTACCAAAGCTAAGCAGAATAAAGCTCGATACACAACTTCATTCCCCGAAAGCATTATTGAGGAAACTACTCCCAAACCAGGTAGATTTGGTTTACACCATGTGTCAGCCCAACAAGAAATTCTTAGACAAACACTCCAAAAACAATCAAAGGATACTGTGCGAGCAGAAGAAAGCACAGACGTGCCATTCGTTCCAAATAAATTGCCTGCGGATGAAATAGAATTGGACGATTCACATTACGAAAGTGTTCCTCAGCCTGTACTTCCAAGTTCCAAAAAGCCGCACAGCTTCACGCCCCGTAAGAGGCAACGGACGAGAGGCCCTGACACAATTTTAGTTACGACTTCAACAACACCCAAGATCAGTCAGCTGGAAATAATCACAGACCGACCAAAATACTCTACCGCTGATGAGTATGAATTCATGGTTTCGGATGAGGAACTCCTTAAAATGATGAAACCTATGATGGGCGATGATTTTACTGATCAACAAGATACACAGGAATTACGTTTCAAAGCAGCTAATATTCATGGGGTCAAGGATGAAATTCTAGACTTGATCAAAACAGATTCAGGTTCAGCTCGACTATCACGGATATTGAGGTTGAGAAACATGTCACTAGATGATTTGATCAAACACCGAGAACGCGGATCCAGTCAACTCCATTTATCGGAAATTTTCACTCACAGACAACATTTGGAGCCAACAATCCAGCCTGGGCCGCCGGAAATATTCTCGGCGTCAAACTTTGGTAAAAACTCAGATGACGATGTTGCTGCACAAATTACGCCTATTTTTGAGTCAAATTTCATCAAGAGCAAGGGTGAAACAGACCAAACTAAAGCAACAGTTTCTCTGACTGAAATAAAAACATTTGAGGGCAGCAATGCTAATGACAAAGACAACAACCGCGAGCCAAAAGTCTTTGAGAGTATGCCATCATTTACTCTTCGAACGGATATTTTGGAACAAATAAATGAGAAGAAAGAAAACCCACCAAAAACTGACTCCAGCTGGAGGTTCTTCGGCCAAGTCAATAAACCTCAGAGGCCATACGAAGATGTTGTTATATCGTATACAAGTACAAATCGTTACCCGTACAGAAAACCATCTGTTGAGGAGATTGACGACATCATACTACTGTCAGATACAGAGCAATACGATGCACCAAGGAGTAATGTCATTCATGCCAAAGTCCTTGCTGATAGTGGTGGAGAGCGGCGTGACCAAGAATTTTTCAATGAAACTAAAAAACTCTCAACAGGAGTCAAATCTGCAATACTTGTCAGTGGTGCCATAATTGGAATAGCAGTTCTTGGTTTCTTTGCTTTAATGATCTCATGCAGGATAAAACAGAAAAAAGCTCGATTGAGAGCACAACGTGATATCTTATGTGATCATTTCCACGAGGAATTGCGAAGTAGCGCAAGAAGTACTAGTCCAGTCATGCCTCCAGGAATGGAGGAAAACACATGTGAACATGGTGTCCGGTCTACAGCCATACCGACACGACACTATAACAACAGACATTATTATTTATGGCGAACACTTAGAAAAACTTTTCAGTATGAGTAAAATGCAGTTCAAGTTATGAAATAAAAAAGACGAATCAAAGACTGTCACTAAATGAATCTCCTTTCATAATACTAGCTGCAGAGTAAATGATCATAGGACCAATAGGTCTCATGATAGAAGAATTTATGTCTAGCTTCAAATTTTTTCTATGCCAATATGACAGCTGGTTCGGAGAGTTTCAAAACTGAAAACATTTTTAACCTATTCAGAATTTGTCAAATATGTTCAAACTGGTAGAATGTCTCTGAAAAATTTACTCAGCTCAGAAAAACATCCAAAGAATCCAGTCTAGATTGATTATTAAATTTTTCTGAGTTGCTGTTATTTCTTTCATTTTCATTCTGGCTTGAGGCCTCTAATTCATTGATTTAAGTTCCAAATTTTAATTTTAGAGACCTGATGTAAATACACTTATTATAGACTGAAATACGAAAATGATACGTAAGCGATTTTGAACCAAGAAGTTCAAAATCTGGCCACTGCGAATCTCATGCCAGTGTGACCTCTTCTCGAGGCTTTTGTAATTATGTACATAGAAAGAACCAAAATCATAATTTTTTTTTCTTCCCTATTATGAACCGCAGATTGAAAATGATTGAAAGAAAACTTCTTCAAACTACAGCAGAAGAACATTCTTTCTTGATTTGTAAATAAAACTGTAATTATTTTCCCTATAAAAATGTGAGCAAGCAGCCAATTTATGATTCAACAAAACAAATTAAAAATGAATTTCAGAGTGATTGATCAAATTACAAGAAAAACCAGAATTGTCTCAATATTATTGATCTAGTCAAGCTTAGCACGTCCAAAATATCTTGGGAAAGAGAGAGAAATTTCCAAAGATTGAGACAAAGAATATGAAAGTTCAACCAATGGGTGCAAAAAAAACCTTATCTACTAAGGATTCTTTGAAAATATATTTGCTCGCACACTTGCTTTATGATTGATCCGGGGAAATGTGACATTTTGGCCCTATAACTTATCAAGTTTTTTAGATAAAATTCAAGCAAATAAGATGCAAAAATCATTTCACAATCGTAATACAACCCAGGTCCTCAAAAAGACTTGCTTTTTCCTTTAAAAATTGATAAACAGTTACTCTTTTAATTTAGAGAGTCTAAATTATCCTCCAATCCACTATAAAATGCAAAAAATTAATTGATGAAATTCAAATACTTAATTTGTACGTAGCTTGTGAAGAATGAAATACCCGTCAAACCCATGAAACTGTACAAAAATACTTTAGCATAAAAAGATTATTTATTTTTTACAGAAAAATTGTGTACGGTGCAATATTAGTTTAAGGAAATTTAATTATAGTGATAAAACGAAAATTTTGAGTTTTCATTTTATTTTCCCTTTGAAACTCAGTCTCTGAACTTTTAATTCACAATTAGGAAGAGAGCCTTGTATTGAATCATTGTAACAGGGCAAGATATTTTAGTTGAGTGCTTTTAAAAATTTTTACGACAGCAGTTAAAAAACACAGCATGAAGATGCAAATGGATGACAGTGATGTAGGAATTCTCAAAATACATCCCTCTTCCCAAACAGATATCAAGTTGGTAGAAGCAAAGACACACAAAGGCAGCCCAAAACGGAAATAGTAGAATGAAAACAAAAAACAGAGGAAACAATGCTAGAAACCACAAAAGAATGCAGGGCGTCGTGGTGTCTTACGAAACCATTATCAACTGCTAAAGGAAGAAAATAAAAATTTGATAGAAATTAAAATCAGAAGAAACCAGCACGTATTAGCATTACATGGTGATGGTGTTTTTTGGACACAAAAACTTTTTTGGAGTCTAAAAAATACCATTACCATGTAACGCCGATTTATGCTGGTTTAATCTGATTTTATTTTCTTTTTTATTTTTATTTTACTTTTTTAGCAGTTGATAATGGTGTCGTAAGACACCAAAACATCCTGCGCTATTTGTGTGTTTTTAACCTTATTTCCACTGTTTTTTGTTTTCATCCTACTGTAGCAAGTATATTGAGATGCAGATTCCACCCAAAGAAACTTCTTTCCTTACATCCCACAACTCTAAAGTGAAAAGGGTATCTGAAACTAGCTTAGTTGTTTGTGACTGACCTTTTCATCAGTTTTTCATTCTGGTTTAAATGATTCTTGAATGCCTAAGTCTGAAAAGTACTCAATAGGAACAAGATCAGTACTCTTCACATGATCCTAAGTCCAGGTCCTACAAAGAGGGAGAACGCAACAGTGTCTTTCCTTCAGAAATTACACTAAAAACCAGGCCAGCTCTTTACCGTTGTCGACTAGTTCAGTTCCTAATTAATTGCATTAGAAAATATTTACTTAATATGATGTTCTTCCATGGAAATTTTTGAAAGAAAACAAATCAACATGACCTTGATTCAAAATTTATACACAATGATTGAAGAATGGTAAAGAAAAATTAGAGCAGATTTCAAACCACGATCTTGATTTGTTAGTGAGTAAAATAGTATGCAAGGGCATTTTCAAACAGTGCAGATATGTGGGACATAGATTTGTGACAATCAAAAAAATTACTGACCTGTATTTTTCAAAAGTGAAAATGTCTCGAAGAACTTTGCTAGCTTCATCATTTGATTGCTGTAAAAAATAGACCAGTCAAAATTAACTTAGTAAGATTTCAAGGAGGCAAGTACATAAATTACATCTGCAATAAAGTCATGTGATGACATGCAGTTGATCTAGTGGCAATTATCGCATGTTAGTTAAGATGTTGAATTGCACTCTTAGATGTTAGATATTAATTATATTTGTTTAAATCTATTACTGGTGATTCATCTTAAGTGAGGCAGACAGCCCGGATCAGTATAGATTGTTTTAAATATTATCAGATGGACAAGACCGATTTACCACTTCCATTGCTACTAACTTGAAAAAATCATTGATGAGTCTGAACTTACTTGTAACTATAAAGTAACATTATTTATAAAAAATTTAGAATGGACCACTAGACAAGGTACGAATTTAAGCTATCTGATACATATTTCTTAACCAGAATTTCTTGTAAAACACGATTCACACTACGAAAATTACCGAAATCAACTTCTAACGAAGGTATTAACGTTGTTATTTCGCACTGATTACGAGGAATTTGAACTGCCCGCTCACAAGAAACTCAAAGCTCTACGTGAGTCAAATCGCGCACTACAACGGTTTCAGCAAGCTTCTCAATCGAGCAATGTTCATTTTCCACCATGTGTTATTCAAACTATTGGTAATTTGCTATAGCTGAGCCAAAGTGTCAAGATTGAAGTTGAAGATTTTTACATCGCAGAGACTGTCATGATAAACATTTAGCGCGCGATGTGAATCACGTAGAGCATTGAGTTTTCATGAGCGGGTGGTTTGAATTCACGCATCAAGAATCATTAAATATCTTCGTCAGGAGTTGATTTTGGTAATTTTCGTTGTGCGTATCGTGTTCTACGTGAAATTTTGGTGGAGAAACATGTATCAGAATGCTGAAATTCGTACCTTGTCTAGTGGTCCATTGAAACATTACTACCTCTGCACTGAACTAGGAGGATACAATTATGAATATACTCATTTCAAGTCAACTTTCAAAGCTCTGTAGTTGATGTAAATTTGGCAGTATAAGATCCCATTTGAAAAAAATGGCAGTGCCAGCATGATTCTTGTTTCCAAGAATTTTAGAAAATTCTCTGAACCATAACTCAATTTTGCTGATTTTTCCCGGAGTAAAAGGGAACTATCTCCAGATTCGGATGTACTTGATAGGAGACCACAATTTTTTTCTTGCATCAAAGGTGGATTTAGGCTTGGTCCCTGAGAGCCATGGCATAGGTACTTACATGTGGTATCCGAGTTTTTGTTAGCGGGCATAAAATTCGAATTTTAGGAGTGGAAAAATGTAAAATCTAGCCCTGATGAAAAGGAGACGACAAAATGCAGGCAACCCATGGCTGGCAAATAGATGAGGCTACCAGGTTACCTTGCATCCTTTTAGTCTGCTTAGCTATTGAGTAAAAATAGAGTAGCAAACGATTGCTTACTGTCTCTTCACATGTAAACGTAGGACAACATTATAATGATGATGCCATTCAATTGCTTAGAAAGCACCCTGACTTTTCAAACGAGTCAGAGTTTCTTTTAGTAGGATGTAAAGATACTCTGTAAAATTGCATAAATCCATCAACATACAAAAATTCAAAATAAAAGTAGGCAAAATGAACTGACTATAGTATAACTCTGTGCAGTTCCTTTTAGCTATTTTCTAGATGCATTATACAGAGCTAATTGAGACGATATTTCAAGTGGCAAGAAAAAAATGTTGCATGTAATGTTAGCATTAATTGTTGAAATTGAAAGGCACTAGTAAATATATGCAGCAAAACATGTCACTAACAGAGCTAGGTTCAACTATGAGGAAAGTCTATATAACTACCTCAGTGTACTTTTCATAGCTTTGTAACCTACAATAATAAACGCTGATGATGCTGAGAATATATTACCTCAAAAACTTTCTTGAAATATGTATACTGCCGAGCAATGTGTCGATACTGCTTCATGGCAAACTCTGGAATGAAACAAAAGACAATAAATTATGGTGAAATTTTTAAAATGATCTTATGGCTCTCAGTTAGGATTACACGTCAAGCCAAATTATTTAAATAAGTAAATATTTAAAAATTTAGTTTAGAGCAAAAACTTTTAACAATGATTGAATCCACCGAAAGTTTCATGGCTTAATTCTTGCAACATTATCAGACTTCCAAATTTTTCACCTTCTGTTGTCTCAGACACTGTTACGTCCAAAGCTACCTCTCTTCATGGAGAGAATACTGAGAGAAAGGCACTGTAACACCTCTTTTTATTGCCTCCAGGTGACCTGCTGGGATAATTTTCAAAATTTTTGAGTTAGCTAAAATATTCTTATGCCCCTTTAAAAGCTTTGTATTTTTTTCTTAAAATATTCTTATAAACTGAATTGTGATTTTCTAACAATTGAAATTTTAAAAATGATAAGAAATTGTTAGAAGACAATTAATAGTAGTTTTTTTAAAACTTAAGATGTTTGAAACAAAAAAATGATAGTAAACTCTTGAAAGAGAAGTAATTTTTTGTAAGAGACTTCTACACTTACAAATTTTACTTAAAAAATAGACAAACGGGGTTACCTGGGGAAAAGTTTTGAAAATTGCTTTTAAAAACTCTTTGCAAATAAAGTATCCGAATTTTCGTCATAATATTTTTCATTCAACATCTTGATCCTAATCGAAATTTTTGACCATCCCAAGCCTCTCTCCTCCGATGCTCTGGCGGCCTTTACCCTGAATACTCAAAAGGATCAACTTTTGCAGGAAAGATTCTTGATAATTATTATTCCATCTGCTGGTGGGTGAGTGCTTCCTCATTATAATTATATACTCTTTTTTACTTCATCAGCTTTAACAGCTTATCTTCATAGCAGACGAAAAATTTCTGAGCTTAAAATTCAAGTTAGAAAAAATAAGTTGAATTCAAATGGTACGTACCAAATGCTGGTGAACCTCTGAGACCCTCCATTTCACTTTGATTAAAGTACAGAACAGTTGGATAAGAATGTGGCAAAACATTAAAGTACGGTTCCCAGAACGATTTCTGCGGTTTAAATCTTTCATAGAGTAAGAAAAGTGCTAACGTAATATTTGGCATATGTTGCAATATGGTGTTCTCTTGAATGAGTTTATCTGTATAAAACAATAAATTCATAATAGAGTTAAAGAAGGTGAAAATACAAGGGCACCTCAAGTCGGTTAGGTTCAGATACATCTTAACTGGGATAATTATTGTTATTTTACATTCTTAGGTACATAGTAAGAAGTATAAAGAATGGGTACGTGGCACCCATTCTTTGAAATTCATTTTCTGAAATTACAGAGTAAATTGAGCTTTTTTTTCAGATGTTTAAAGCCCTGCGTGAAAGAGAAACCCTGTTTTGAGAATGAGGTCCGTTCAAAGCGATATTTTTGGTGAGCTCTAATGATGTAACTGGGCAGGGAAAACTGCGTTTGCTGATTGGCTGAACTCAGTTTCAAACATCAGACATTGCCTTGTTACTTCAACTAAACTGTCGGCTTTAGAATGGTCGGATTTTGATGAGCTTTTTCACCCTTCAGAGAAACCTTTTTGAACTTTTTTGTCTTTACATTTTTTATAAAAGAGAAACTAAATTACGACCCTACAAAAATTCCTCACCAATGCCCCACTGTGACTCTGAAAATGGCTCCAGAAGTCAAAATCTATAAGCTTAAGAAGATACTTCTTAAAAAAATTTTTTTCCTCGAGTTCCTTGGCTGAAACTACAAAATCGCAATATTACTTATGGCCTTACTATGAAGAACTCTTTGGATTCTATGCATGAGCGTTGTACTGAATATTATAGATGAAGATAAATCTGAAGAAAACGATTGTAAGACCTGTGCTGACTTACGCTGCGGAGACCCGGGCAGACACGAAGCGCACTAAACAACAGTTTCGGACAGTAGAAATGAAAGTCCTGAGGAAAATAGCAGGCTTTACACTCCGAGACAGGCAGACCAACGAGTCAATTCGCGAAGTGTGCCAAATTCCAGATATTGCCAAATGGACCAAGATGCGCCGGAAAATGTGGTCAGAACATGTTGAGAGGATGGACGGGAAAAGGCTTGCCAAGATTTGTATGGTAGGACGACCTCATAGCCAAAGGTAACCCGGACGACCGCCCAAGAGATGGGCACAGAGCTGCCATTCATCCCCGGAGAATTAACCCTCTCTCATCACCATCATATGTTCTTTATCATATTTATTTTTATTTATTCATATTTATTTATTATCATATTTGTTGTCCAGTGGCGTGGCGTGCTTTGCGATATATCGATTGTTATGCTATTTAAACCTATGGTAAAGAGTCGATTATTAAGGTGTTCGCTGCGAACACCTTGTTTATCGATCCTTTTCCATAGGTTTAAATAGCATAACAATCGATATATCGCAATTCACGCCACGCCACTGTTGTTGTCATATTTATTTTCTAATTTAGAGGCTAGACAAACAGGGTCACGGTCCTAGTCAGAAGGTAGAAGAAGAAGAAGAAGAAGATAAATCTCTCTTAACAATGACATTTAAAACAATGGGTGTTAACTCTGAGCTCACTTGCTCTTTAAAAAAAAAACCATTGTTTTGGAGCTTCATGCACACTTGTCATCAGTTTTATCAGCTTTATCTTGACGGTCGTGATAAAGTTAATGATGGAGTGGGCATAAAACTCCAGAGCAATGGTTCTTTTTGTAGAAAAGTGAGTGCGCTTAGAGTTTACATTTTTATAATTGATGACTGGGTGTACCCGTTGAACTGAATAGTTGTAACTTAAAGATGGGGACTGCAAGAGTCAGTTTATACATACTTAAATGAGAGGACTCTGCGTCTTCAACAGTCATCATGAGTTTCCTAGGAATTTTCAAGATCATTTCACCAGACTCTATATCCTTCGTGGCCACTAATCCGCAGCCATAATCACTTAGCTCTGCTAACTTGAGGCCTTCAAATTGTGCTCCATTGCTTTCAAGCCAACTGTCAAAGTTTTTGCTGATTTTTCTCGCTGGAAGTGGTTTGCTGAAATCTACAATACAATAAGTCCAGTTTAATAAGTCATCACAGAATGTACTGTACATACAAAAAGTTTTCCAACAAATGCGGTTGTTTGATTCTAAAATACTAAACATTTCTGTAGTTTCGGGCACATGTAACAGTGTAGACGTTTAAATGTGTGTGTTTGTAGAACCAAAAAGCTGTAAAACTTATCTGATGGACTTGAGCTAGAGAGGTAGTTTCAACGCGTGGTCTAACGGAGATAGAGCCAAGTACAGATGTGAATAAACTGTGACCTATGCTGCGTTTCAGAAGTGCTCTGACAGATGATCGTGATCTGGAGAAGACAGAGTGATTGAAACACTGTGATGATTCAGAGCTTGGCGGCATTGACTCAAAAATATTTTATTTTGATGGCTATGTAGAAAAAACCAATCCTTTAAACTATTGAAAATATCAACAAAAGCGTGAATTAGTAATAGTAAATTAGACAGACATTAGAATGTGAATTCACTGGATGAATTGAAATTTTAAATTGAATTGAAAATATAATACTAATGTTGCACTGAACTTTTAACTAAATGCATTTTGCAATTTCTGAGGGAGGGGGAGAAATAGGACTAGGTAGAATGGAATACAATGGGAGGGGCAATTTTGAAACACCACAAATTATGTGCATATTTTTGCAGCTCCATCATTATAGTGTTTGTTGTTTGGACAAAACGATGGTATTAGAAATTTGAAGCGGTCCAGAACAAAACTTCTCTAAGTCAATTGTTCTCGAGCAGCCTGGTAATGTAAGTTGATACAGGTTGAAATATGTATTTTAAACACTACCTCTTGCTACCTTAAATGCTAGAATTCTAGAAATACTTAAAAGATTTCCTGACAGTGATAGAAGTAGATACAAAAGCCTTCTCATTTTCTTTTACACAGAAATTTTCATGGATTTTCGGTGGACAAAGCATCAATGAATACCAGCACGATTCTAGATCTAAAACTTACCTTTTTCCACATTAATAATTTTTGACACATAATCACTGATTTTCACAAATGCATCCCATTCATCATTTAGCTTCATATGCAATGAAAAGCTGGTAACATCTGTGCAGGAAGGAAAAAAACAATGGATCAAATTATTACCTTATGAGATGCACACAGACAGTAACTACAGGTAGATGTGGAATCGATGATTAAAATCACTCACTCGCAATGTTTAAAAATCTCAGATTCTGTTTTATTAGTGTGAAGAGACATTTGGCAAAAGGTCTTTTTGAAATTTTTTGTAAATGTACTTCAATGAATGAAAAAAACTCATAAAACACTCTGAGATGAGCTGTTGGTTAGTTTCCTTTTGCAAAATAGAGCATGATCAGAAATTTATGACTACAAAATTGAAAATACATATTGTTGGCCTTAATGAGGCAAACTCAGTCTAAAATATAAGCAATTACCTTTATGATTCCAAAATACATATAACTTGGCACTGGACTCTGGTCACTTTGACAAGAAAGAACATTGCAAATTTCTAATGAGAGCAAGAGATGAATAACGCTGGGTAAAGATAAACAAGGACTAAGCACTTAAGGGGTAGGATAAATTCATAAAAAGAAATGATTCTTAGACCAAACTTTTCCTGAACTATAGTTCATGACTTGATAGAGCAACACCTGACCTCAATTTCAGAGCTAGAGTCTAGATTTAGCGCTCACAAACAAAAAAGAATCTGTAAACTTTGCAAGCTTACAGCCTTCGAAAGGATTTCTACTTATAGCAAAAGAATATATGAGGTAAACAGAGATTTGATAGATAGGCCTAGATTAAATAGATAGTTAATGTAATGGATTTTCTACGCGAAAAACAATTAAAAATAATGATTCAAGCAGACTACAAAAAGCCGTACTTACTTAACTAATTTTACACATGAAAGATTAAACAAAGACGCTAATAATCTGAGTATGATTTACATTAAGAGAGAATAGCACGGCAGTATACATGACACCATAAAGAAATGATGCGAGAATTTTCTTTGACATAACTAGAGACTGAATAGAGCTACAGACATACTTCTATCAAAAGTCCGTAGAACAACGACCAAGGATTGTACACTTTGCGTCCAAAAGCATGCAATGAATGCTGGTTAAATGGATAAAAAACCCATTAAAATAAGTTTTGAATATGACAGAGTAATCATTCGAAGCTGGAAAAAATAATGGTATGACTTACATTTGAACAGTTCATTCACTAGGAGCTGCAGCTCATTCTTTTTTCGGTTGACAGCCGCGTTTTTACGGGCTGAGTTCTTTTGGGCGTTATTTTTCTTGCTCATCGTTACTAAACAACAGTTTAAGGTATTTTAAATATTAAAATTACGGTGACATTTGGAGAGAAAAGAATTATTGTGCAAGCAAAACTGACACTACCTCCCACACCTTATTTGGGAATGTATAACCTCAATTTAGCATGATAACAGAACCGAAGGTAAATAAACACCGTAAAGCAGTTGTGATTGGCTATGACGTCACGCTCTGTCTTGCGCAGTCGTTATGTGTGACTTTTGTTGCAGCATGTCATATTGAAGGCGCATCATCCGTCACTGTCGTGTTGTGTCGACAGGAAATCTCTGCTGAGAATCCTACTCGTTACATTTTCCGAACATTATTGCTTAGTTTCTCAGTGCGTCTCATAGAAAAAATTGAAGGAAGATTGATAATGCTGTTCAATCTATAAAATCAGATGTATATCGATGGCTGAAGTTGTGAAATATCGACGGTGAAACTACCAAACCACGTATCTCGGTTTGCGACGTCGCAGACTTCCTGTCATACTTTATTTTTTAAATGAAAAACTACTTAACGTCCAGTCTTGAAAATTTCTTTGATTTTTCCTTGCGGAGAAAATTCTGTGAAAATTTCAAGGAATGATATTGATTTGGTCTATTTCAAAAAAATAAAATGTGAGCGTAGATTTTTAAACACCGCAAACGAGATACGTGGTTTGGTAGTTTCACCGTCGATATGTATCTTCGACTTCGACTGCAACTTTGCAAGTATCTACTTATCGACGGTGCAAGTCGGCAATCACATAACTCGTTTGCGGTGTCTGAAAATCTCCGCAACTATGTTATTTTTTTAAAGGAGAACAAATGGACATGATTCCTTGAAGTTTTTGCAGAATTTTCCTCGCACATAGAAGAAAAATCACGCCAGTTTTAAAAAATTACCGTTGAGAAGTTTTCCGTTTAAAAAATAAAGTATGACAGGTAGTCTGCGACGTCGCAAACCGAGTTATGTGATTGCCGACTTTCACCGTCGTTATGTTTTTCGTCTTACAAAAAAAAAATAATCTGGCGTTTATCTTGAAATTTTCCGAAAAACTTAGTTCACAAGTGTTAAACTACTCACAGACAATTCCGGGAGGATGATTTGAATAGTTAACTTTGGACGAAATAAACCACTTATAATTAGAATTTTTGAAAGTTGACAATGCATGGAGTTGCACTTTGTGCATTGTAATTCGTGTGGTGATTCGTCCCTGGTTACAGGTGGTTGAAATGGAATCCGGTAAAACGCATCGATAAAGTCAAACAGTTTGCCAGATATTGAATTTTTAAACAAAGAGACAATAATAGCCCATGCGATGAGCTTATAAGAATTATTCGAGGCAGGTAAAAATTGCAAAATTTGTAAAGAGAGTAACTGGACTTAACTACGAAAAAATGTTAAAAGATCGATTGCTGTACTACGCACATGCATGATAGATACGCGGAATCTTGGTTAGATGATAACGCACATCCCGCCTTCAATTTTTGGGGTAGGCCAAGTCACGTCCTTCGAGCAACAATCTGCTCAAAGCAATCAGCAAATCAAGTAATCTCAGGAATCTGCAGTAATCTGATCAAATGTTGAAGGACCTTCAATCGGTAAATTTAGTTTTGATCACTTGATTTAAGACTCATTTTGAATATATATCTACTTTATCTAAGACTTATTCTATAGTGACTTATTCTGAGATATATAATTGATTTTTGATTCACTTTAGTTTATATATGTCTAGATTTTTTTACTTTTTCAACTTTTATGGAACGTGAAAAAATGTGTCTTGAGCTGTTCAAAAATATTGCCTTGCTGTACATCATGCGGAACTTCAAGCGGGTGGTTGATGCTGGCTCGAGTTTATTTATTTGAGACTCTATGTTATCAATATTCAGTAAATAATATAAAGATAAAATTGAACCTAGAATTTCTGTAGGGAAGTAGCGGCTCTTGCAATGTGCATATTGTGCATGCAGGAAACGCTACAGAATTAAATGCCTCTTAAACTAGTTGTATAAATTTTTTGCTACGTATATTTCGAGCACATACGAGGGGAAAAATAGTGGTTAAAAAAATAAATAAATAATAAATAAAAAAAAAATAGTGGTTAAATAGTGGTGGAAAAAGTAGTTAAGTGGTGTTCCTTATGGATCGACTTTAACAGAAATGCATCAACTTTGAACCGAGGAAAGAGGTTCGAAGTTTTATTCCTTCATCAGAATCAATAAAGTTTGATGAATATTTCCATGTTCAAAATATTTTCTGTCGACTTTGAATTTTTTACAAGCAAAATTGTCAAAACCAGTTTACGTCAAACTACCTTCTTTCAAAAAATTTCCTCTTCAAAATGCGACATGGTACTAGGTCCTGATAAACTTGGTCCACGCGAGCTCCTAATCAATGATATGTAAGTGACCTATAATAGTGGCATTTTTATATTTATGTTATTAGGTATCTAATTGAATCTTTATTTGATCAAATTATTACTTAGTTGTAAAAATACATGACTAACATTATTTAGAGTTTATATGGAACACCACTACTTTGGTGTCCGTCCACAACTTCTGGTTTTTCTCACGTTGGCTATCAAGGCTACGCTTATTGCTATTTCGCCTTTAATTTTTGAGATACGCTGGAGAGCATTTCCTGTGCAGCAATAATTACTAAATTCTCAGGGATGTATGTTTTGTTTTGTCTATAGATATCCTGCCTTGAAGGTAACCATGAAATTCCCCTGATGACTTTGATTTGAACCTCTGTTTCCCTTTTCCAATCTTTATCATTAATATTCAATAAACGCTTTAAAAACAACTCGTCGCTACACACATTTCAGGAGGGCACAGTGGGCTTGAAGCTAAAAAAAAATGAGATGAAAAGTACTCAAAACCGGTTTGTAAGGTGTGAATCTGCGGTACGTGTAAACTTAAAATCGTGAAAAATCAAAATCTTGGTTACTCCTGTTTTCGAAATATCGAAATTTGAAATGCTCACAGTAAGTGCAATTTTTCCACTGATTTTGATCCGGGTCTTTATTTATTTGTCCATTGAATCAGTGTCGATCGATTGACACACACTCAACCACATCCTCTCGTTGCATGCAAACTTCCTATCATACTTTTTTTTAACTGAGAAATTCACCTAATGCTGTACCTGCAGCTATTTTTGTTACAAATATGTTGTGCGTGCTCATTTCAGCTCATAACATACTTGACTCTTTGAATGATTTTTATGTGCGAGAGCAATGTGCCTTCAGTTGCGTCTGTAGCAATTGTTGTTACGATCATGTTGTGCGCGCTGATTTCTGCCCATTACATACTCGACTCTCTGAAGGCGTTTTATGTGCACAAGTAGAGCAATCTGCTGGAGAACACACGAAGTAGGGTTTGAGCGGTTCACTCAATCTCACTTCTGTTGTTCTTCAACAGGGTTCTCTACTTTCGCAAATAAAACGCCTTCAGAGGGTCAAGTATGTAATTTGCTAATATCAGCACGCAGACCATAGTCGTAACCACAACTGCTGCGGAGACAGTTGAAGGAGAAATGTCCAGTTCGGGGATTGATAGGAAGTTAGCATGCATCAAGAGGGTATATATTCGATCGATATGAATCTAACGAAAATTAAAAAGCTTTCCGCCTCCAACGGGGACGACTGCTGCCAACCGTGAAAATTGAATATTCACCCGGTTGTTACTGGGTTCCTTAGCGACAAGGATCCGCAGAAGATTGGGATCACTTTTAGGAACACGCTGTATCCTACTCTCTCCTTATTTCGCCGTGACTGCTGCCAACCATAAAAATTGAGACTTCACCGAGTTTACAGTGGTCTCCTGGGCAACAAGGATCCCTGGAAAATCGAGATCACCTTTAGGAACACTCTGTATCTACACATTCTCCTTTATTCCGAATGACTGCTGCCAACCGCGCAAATTGAGAAGTCACTGTAACTAAAGCGGGCCCCTCTTGGCAGCAAGCATCCAAGAATCTTCTAGATCAGTTTTCGGAACACGCTTTATCATCGCTTCCTGTCTCGATCAGTGCTGACCGATGCCAACCGTGCAAATTGGTAATTCCCCAATCACAAACTGCCGCCCCCATTCGAACAAAGCATCGATGAGCCGTGCAGGTCGGTTATTTGGAACACCCTATATCCGCACTTTCCGCCTCCGACGGGGTGACTACTGCCAACCGTGAACATTGAAAATTCGCCAAGTTGATACTGGGTACCTTTGCAACATGGATCCGCAGAAGATTGGGATCACTTTTAGGAACACGCTGTATCCTACTCTCTCCTTTTTTCGCCGTGACTGCTGCCAACTATGAAAATTGGGACTTCACCGAGTTTACAGTGGTCACCTGGGCAACAAGGATACCTGGAAAATCGAGATCACATTATGGAACACTCTGTATCTACATACTTTCCCTTATTCCGAATGACTGCTGCCAACCGCGCAAATTGAGAAGTCACTGTAACTAAAGCGTGCCCCTCTTGGCAGCAAGCATCCAAGAATCTTCTAGATCAGTTTTCGGAACACGCTGTATCATCCCTTCCTGTCTCGATCAGTGCTGACCGATGACAACCGTGCAAATTGGGAATTCCCCAATCACAAATTGCCGCCCCCATTCGAACAAAATATCAATGAGCGGTGCAGGTCGGTTATTTGGAACACCCTGTATCCGAGCTTTCCGCCTCCGACGGGGCGACTGCTGCCAACCGTGAAAATTGAAAATTCGCCAAGTTGATACTGGGTACCTTTGCAACATGGATCCGCAGAAGATTGGGATCACTTTTAGGAACACGCTGTATCCTACTCTCTCCTTTTTTCGCCGTGACTGCTGCCAACTATGAAAATTGGGACTTCACCGAGTTTACAGTGGTCACCTGGGCAACAAGGATACCTGGAAAATCGAGATCACATTATGGAACACTCTATATCTACAAACTTTCCCTTATTCCGAATGACTGCTGCCAACCGCGCAAATTGAGAAGTCACTGTAGCTAAAGCGTGCCCCTCTTGGCAGCAAGCATCCAAGAATCTTCTAGATCAGTTTTCGGAACACGCTGTATCATCGCTTCCTGTCTCGATCAATGCTGACCGATGGAAACCGTGCAAATTGGGAATTCCCCAATCACAAACTGCCGCC